TATTATTTTTATTTTTTTCCTGAAATTCTGAATGTTCTTGATTTGTATAACACTAGTCTATGCTCTTCTTATTTTCTAAGTGAAGGACATTGTCAAGCATTCAGGTGGTATATAAGGCATATTGTTTAGTTAAAGGCATTCAGTCTGGCCCATGTTCTCAGCCATTTGGGCATGTCTGTTAATTACCAGCATATTTTTAGCCCTCCCATTTTACTAAAACTTTGAAAAGTGTAGAGGGAACAATGAGTGCATGCAGTTGGAAAGAGAGAAAAGCGGGGAAAAGAGGAGTGAAGTGCAATGAAGAACAGGATAATTTTGTCCAGATTTGGTGGAGCTTGACCCTGGGGCCTGGCACAAGCGGCGCTGAGAGAGACCCTGCTATGACCCCATAGATTATGAAGTTTTTTTTCCCTTTGTGTTATACCACAGGCCAAAAACACAGAGTATAGATGTCACATAGCTGTTATAGGGCCAGAGGCAGCACATTATGCATAAGGGGACAAAGGAAAACAAGAAATGAAAATTGTGTAGGAAGCAGTTATTGTGGAAACATTTGGAGGTATAATGTCAAAAAATATTTTTTACAGTGTGTGTTATAAATCAAGTAAAGGCATTTGGAGTGTCCTGAATAATTATTTTAAGTATCTGTGGAAGAATTATCTGATTACGTCACTGCACTCTAATGCGCAGGTCGCCTTTTGTATCATGTCAGTGTCTTGTAGGACTTCAGGCTCTCCCAGGGGGCGGGGCTAGTTGTTTCTATTTGGTAAGAATGGATGTCTGACCACTAAAGTTTGGGCCATTTATTCTCGCCATTTATACACTCACCTGCATTTAACACCTATGGGTTATTCAGACACATCACATTCACTAATGTTTATTTATTTCAACTTATTTCATCTCACTGTGATAAACTGTTTTGGTGCACTGACAACAGCGCTAGCTACTGTTGCAACTTTATGTTCACCGCACAGACAGTGGTGCTTTCTGCACTCAGGTTGTGCGCACATCTGCTGAAACAAATAATCTGTCTATATGAAGACCACTTGCTAAATTGTTTTAGTAATATGTATGAGATTCACAATTAACTAAATCATGACCACATTCTAAATACTAATAAAATCAGTTTAAAAATAAGTAGCTCTAATGCCAACATCTCTCTGAAAAAATAATGTAAGATAAAGATTAAATGTAAAGTCAAAACAGAAAAATCTGAACAAATTTAAAAATCATGGGTTGTGTGGATGCTTTTTGAAACATTTGTTCCAGGAAACATTGTTAGTATCTGCACTCTAATACTAGTTTAGGAATGCAAAACAATCCACATCATCAATGATGCAATTGGTGAATAACATGATACATGAAGGAGGGGGTAAGGATAGAGGATAGAACACATCGCTGTATTCATGACATTACTTTCTCTACAATGGCAGAAAATACAAAGTAAAAGTATCTTCAAAGTGAGATTTGCCTAAACTAGTCTGGCCCTTAACTGCACTTGGGACATGGTTGAGGAGGGAAGGTGGTTCGGTCCATCTGGAAGCAAACATTAAACTTTGTATCTTGATGAGACAAGTGATTCTTACACTTCTGAATGGACACAACAGCATGCTGATATTACATTCTGGAACCAATTTGCAATATATTCAAAGAAGTGAATCCATTTTATCTTTTGAAGTTAATTAAACCCTTGGAGCCAAAAAAGTTCATTGTGCATGACTTCCTCTATTGCATTAGACCACTGCATTATGTTTATATCAATAGGATTTGCTCGTCACCTTGATTCAAGTCCCATTAACACATTGGCTTGAAAATGATGGCTGTAATGCTCATAAAACCACTGGAGACAACCTACAGGTCCACTTACAAATAAATGGACAAATGGCTGTGATAGTCTGTGAAATGTGCTGATGTGAAGGCCTGGATTCACTTAAATGAAGGCTCCAGGGGGTCAGCTGAGGGCGGTCTGGACAAAGGCAGGAGACCAGTCACACGAGCCCAGGCAGAAATCAGTTTGGAGTCAGTGTGCCGGAAAAGTGCTGCTCTGGTCAAATCGGTAAAGCCATTGAGTAAAGTCCACCACTGACAAACTAAGAGTCAACTTCCTGCAGCTCAATCGGGGCACACAGACAGTAGCTATAGACAGTGATTAGAGGGCACAGTGGTATAGAGTAAAATGTAAATAGTTGTCATCAGTGAGTAGGAGTCAGAATATGGGTTGCATGAGATTTTAGTTTAGTTTGTTGGCTTGTTTATTCAGTGATTGATTTTGTTATCGGTTATGTCCTTTGTCTTCACAGTTGGCTGACTCTCATCCTAGAATATATGGGTATTTACACTGAGGACAATGAGCAATGGACTTCATTAAACGCATGCATATTCATACAGGAAATGTTGATGTAACATTTTGCATGTGTATAATCATTAATCTTAATTTTTTTTAGATACATTTTGTTCTTAATTACACATATTTTAATGTTATGTCCCACATGTGTCCTAAATTGTGCAATAAATATGTTTTAAAATAAAACTCTTTAAAAAGTGGCTACCTATAAAAGTTCTCCTTGCTACCTCGCCAACTTTCAGAATGTATGTTTTATTGTGGACTGTTGGATCATAATAGATACACTATTTTCTCACATTCACATATGATATGCATGTGCAGAAATGAAGAATCGTTATGGCTGCATTCAGCCTGAGACAACTGTGTACATCCAGTCTTGTACAATTGTACAAACTAATATTTGTTTTGAAGGAAGTGGGTCAAATGAAATGGATCCAAATGAGCAGATGAATGAAAACATCATGCTATGTGTAATGAGTACACAGGACGGCTATTACACTTGAATTGACACAGTAATTGCATTTACAACATGTTTTCCATATCAATTATTAAATATAAATATGTGAGCATGTTTTTCACTATTCATTTATTCTTCAGAGACATATTGGCAGCACATATTTGTTAACTTGGTGGAGTAAAGGGCCCTCTTGTATTTCAACATTATACATTACACAATTTGATGGTACAAATACGACAGCTGGCAGGCTCTGTGCTCTTCTGTCTTTCCCCAGACGCACCAACACCACATCTGTCATCTTTATGCTTCACATAGCCTTATATTGATAGGCCTGGGAGGTAGTGGCATCACACACACACGCAGACAAACAAGGGTACAACAGTAAATATGGTCTTTGTCAATAGCTGTCGACAAGCTCACGGCCCTCCCCATTTCTGCTGACACGCACAGTTTGGGAATCAGTGTTTGACTTTTGCTGAGATAAAGGATTTGGGCCAGTTAAATCTTATCATCGCCTATTACTCCTGCAGACTGCAATACAAGCCAGAGTGCTCCAAAAGTAATGGTAAGGAGAAAAGAGAAAGTGGCTGGTCTCACAGTAGTGGGGATGTGATGTTATTCTCACCCAGTGTTACCTCTGTGTCGGCAGATGGACTTCACAGAGGCTGAGTGCACTTGAGAAGACAGAGGAGAAATCTGGGCCACTTCTCTGGGACGGACACAAATAGGACTAAAAGGATGTGTACTCATATGGGGAAATATTGAAGTTCTTTCGCTGCTCTATATCAACGCAATATGCATGCCAAAGAGGTCGACAAAATTTTTCTTGGTTGAACAAAAACTAGTTAAATGTAGGCTATTTTCTTGGAGTTTCAGTTGTGTATATATTCAATGCAATCGTGTGGTTGCTTTTATAAAAATACTGCACTTGAATTGTCAGGAAAACAAACAAAAAACACTCCCCACATCTTGAATGCTATTGTCTTTTTTGATCATTACGAACAAAAGTGTTGTGAACAGTTCAAAGTGTATTCCAGGTTAGTAAAATCAAACACATGCCACAACTGACACATTATCGCAAACTTTCCTTAAATATAAAAATATACACATTACTTTGACAGCGACCTTGTCTCAAGATGAACCAGTATCAAAAGCCTCTCTACTTCATGTTGTCAGCAGACTTTTCCAAATGTCACTTATCCCATCCACAAAAGCAATAAAATGTTTTCTGCCTCACTAACACTTTCTCGCTCTCATATTGTGCGAGCGCTTAACTAAATTTACCCTGCAGCACAGAGCTCCTGCTGTCGACTCAGACAACACCGCTCCGTCCCACTGTTCTCACAAGGGAATCAAAAGTCAAACACAGAATCAACCAGTAATGAGCAAACACTGAGACAGGTGAAAAATGTTATTAACTGAGAGGGCTTTACATGAATATTTGGAGAAATAGTATAGGAAACACACAAAATTGTATCTCTTATCCAAGGTCACTGGTTACTATACAAAAATATAGTTAAGTAGTGCCTGATTCTTAATATTATCATCAAAAATATAAATGGAAAAATACATCTGATTCTAAACAGAAGTATTTTTAAAGGTGCACCATGTAATTTTCCTTGTCTCCGTGGAGACGTTGTCACTTATAAGACAAGATAAGTAGGTGCGTCAAAGTAAGAAAAAAACTGTTTAAATAAATGTGACATAAGTTTAATAATGTCACACAACATTCCAGGCAAAGCATTAATATTGGAGACAAGCACAGGTGGTGAGCCCTTCACCAAAAAGTTACACAGTACACCTTTAAAGACTAAATCAGGACTTGTATCTTGCATTGTGCTCTTCAAGTGAGTCTAATATAGATTTATTCAACTGATTATTTTTGGTTTGTTTATAACTAATTTAAAAAGTTTTTGATATAACTCGCTATAAATTATTTCTAGGCAATAGAAAAGTGTGGTGCACAGTATACAGCAGATATGCACTGTAATATAATTCAATTTGGATTTCATCTCAATATTATCTCTTACTGTTAGTGCAGTGGAGTTGAGGAGGTGGAGTTTGCTGTAAACTATGTCTTTCCTGTTTGCCGATTTCTAGCTTTAATTCATAAAAATAAAGTGTATCTTCAACAAGGCAACAGTTTACAGAAGTTTCTGTGCTGGAAAATAAGAAACTACTTACTTTTTATAACTAAAAGTGACCTTTTAATTCAATATTTAAGGCATTTTATGACAGGGTGAGTAACATACACAGTGTGTACACATCTGATAAACATCTGATAAACACATCAAAGACAACCAGTGACAAATTCACTGTGTATTTTGTGAGTTAATACATTGTGACATATTACAGACTAAAATAGATACGTTACTGTTACAGACAACAAAGTGGTATGTTAATGATTATGCTACAGGACTTATATTATTCATATGAATAATAACATTTTAGAAAATATGATCCAACCAATAATATGAGTGACTTGTCCATGACTTGTAAAGATGGCAGCAGAAATAGTATTACTATGCTGTACTTGATACATTAGGTTTACAGTATAAATAGATATTATTATCAAAAACATCTGTAGCCCATTGTCTGGGCATAGCAACAAGTAAGGGAAAAAAAAGGTTTAGGATGCCACAGCTTCATGTCCAACTTGCTGTTCCCACTCATTGCTGGCTGGCTACACTTACACTCCAAAGCATAGGAGAACAGTGCAGTCCATAATACTCCAGCTAAATAGTAAATAAAACATTTTATGCCGTCAACTGTAGCTCCTAGAAATCTCCATACCTGTTGGAGGGAAAGAAAACAGATTGGGTATATTTACATGGTCAGAAAAAAAAATCTAAAAACTGGAAGAAACAAAAAAAAAAACAGTAATAAGGTTTTCTGTTATGTACCTCTTTATACCAAAGAGAAATCAGTGTCAATTAATCAATGGATTTTTTGAGTAACTGTTGAATTTGGAAGACAAATTACAATGAATTATAAAATATCTCTTTCATTATGTATCTTTTTTTCTTTCATTTGTTGTCTTTGCCACATAAGTTTGTTCTTTTTTGCATGATTTTCTTTGTCAAAAGTGGCACATGTGTGAACAATCAGAAAGAAATTAGACTACACATCAGAATAATTGTTTACATGACATTTCAATGACCTAATAACTCCAGAAATCAGACAATGATCAGATTTGGTGTGCATGTGAACAGCCACTGTCAGAAAAGGTTGATTAGTGTGTTGCTAGGAGATGGGAGGTGTGTTTTTAACCATCTGTCTGACTCACTCTGTGTCATCGGCTGTGGGCGTGTTCCAGCTTTGAAACAGTGGCTGCATGAAGAGGCCCAGGGTCCCCACCACACACACCAAGATGAAGATCCACAAGAACATGCGGTCAATCACCATGGCCACGTACTTCCAGTCCTGAATTATCTAAAATGAGACAAGTTTGGTTGTGTTATGCAAGTAACAAATAAATAAAGAAACTAATTTCCCATTACAAGTTCAAAATCATATTTTTTTAAAAAGGCAAAGAGGATTATTGTCCTAAAGCTTTACTGTATTAACTGCTGCTGTGTGGACCGCAAATATGTACTGCATTATATTTATATTCACAGTAGAGTCAGTAAATGTGAACATGAGACTGGCAGCTTGGTGAGTCTGCCATGAGCAATTACAGCAAAGCAACCTGTTTGTAATATTTATATAACCGAGGATCTTTTGGGAGCCGACGTGCTTAGAGCTATAAATCTGGGGTTAGAGTTCAACCTTTAATGTGGATATGTTGTACTTTTGGAAGAGCACAGGGAGGCAAAAGGCCCCTAGAACAATACAAAGTTTAGCAGTTTCACTTTGATATATTGTAGTTTATTTAATGGTGCCAGTGCATATTAAAAGTCTCCCTAGGCCTGTCAAAGTAAAATACAACAGCACACAATTTTAGATGTATTTACTGGTGTTGCAGTAGGCACATTTGTTTGTCTTTTCCTAATTTCTTCTGAGTTTTAATCTGCTACACTGCATAAAATTATTGTAGAATTGTCATTACTGAGAATTTTTTTGTCTCCTTTGTACATTTACACATGGGACAACTAGATTGTAAAATAAAAGTAAAATAGCTTGATTCCTTTCTTTACAAATGCAAAAAAGTATCCTTACCCCTTCATCATCATCTTCAGTCTTCATGTGTTCAGCGATGTACTTGACTCCCTCCACGGCCTCCTCCAGAGCAGGGTCCAGTGGGTGACCCAGGGACCTGCCAAAGTCAGAGAATCCGCCCCCTCCTTCTGGCAGTTCAGTTCCTTTCCAGCAGTACTTTTGTGAATAGTCTTCCTGTGCATAGAAGTCCCCTCCTAATCTTATACTGGAGAGCTGTGAGTTGAGTGTTGTGGTACTCCGGATTGGGAACTTCACCTTGAGCTTGTCCCTGTTGTTGGATCGAGGGCGGGTCATAAACAGGAAGTATGGGAGGCGTACGAGGAAGATACGTTTGACCCAGTCGGGCATGTAGTGAGTGGAGGGGGAGCGGTGGTGAACGTTCAGGACACAGGCACAGGACACAATGGAGAATGTGACCAGTACCATAGTGAACATCAAGTATTTACCTGAGGAAACAACACATATAATTATTCAGCACTATATTATATTATAGTTGCCAACTTTTTATTTTACTAAAATGTTAAATTAATATTTTACTAATATATTTTTTTATGTTGTAGATTATTTGTGACTTTCAAATATATATATATATATATCAGCCACAACAGATGGATATCAACCACAACAGATGGAAACTAGCCTCATAGCAAAGATCTGGCATTTTTTTATACATGATATATGTGTTGATTAATATACTGTCCCTTTCTGAGACTATTCAAACATGCATGAAGCACTGAAAATACAACAGTGGGTGAGTAAATAGTGAGGGAAAACAACTATAGCATGGTTAAAAGCTCTGAAAGGTTGATTTTGTATTTTAAGCCTTGAAGATTGTCCACCTTCCTCAAAGTAGTTGTGACAAACATTTGGGTCCACTATCTGTCAGTTGTGAAAAAGTGCATTTAACCTAAAACAAACCTAAATTATTAAAATATATAAAATTTATCTCTTGCCATTTCTAACAATAGGGCAGTTTTTACATAAAGTAGATGTTATTTCCAACACCTGCCACCACGCCTGCCAAACTTCTCAGAAGTCAGATTTATGTTATTTAAATTATTTTGATGTTTACAAATATTCCTTAAAAGCCGATGACAGACCTATGAGGGGCACTGCCAGGGAGGTGGGTGGTACTATCTTTGATATTAGCAGCAGGAACACAGTTAGCGCCAGGAGCACTGAAATGCACAGCGTCATCTTCTCTCTGCAGTCTGACGGCAGGTAGAAAACCAAGATGGCCAACGACGTGATCAGAATACAAGGGATGATCATGTTAATAGTATAGAACAGCGGCTTCCTCTGAATAATAAAATCATAGGTAATATCCAGGTAGGTTATGTCATTAGGGTCTTCATTTTTGCGTGCTGGTAAAGACACAATGTCCCACTCTCCGCTGGGCGTGAAGTCGTCTCTGCTGGCGTAGTCACTGGTGAGGACTACATCGATCTCTGTGTGGTCATAGGTCCAGGAGCGGAACTTGAGGGTGCAGTTCTGTTGGTCGAATGGGAAGTTCTGAACCTCAATGGGACAGGCCGACTTGTAGATGGCCGGAGGGAGCCAGAAGATGTCCCCTGTGTTGGACACCACAGCGTTGCAATAAAAGGAGACTTCATAAACACCATCCGCACTGGGAAACATAGACAAGAAATAACCACAGATCGAAAATTAATTCAACTAACAATGTTATCATATTACACATAATTAATTTTGTCATGAATTAATATGTCTGTGCTTCATACTATGAATAAGGTCATGGGTGAATTAATAAAATGAAAATTAGATGAAAGTAGATCTTATAGCTCCAGCAAGTGCACTCCATGGTGTGTTATACTGTTATACTACATTTTGAATTTTGATATACTGTTTGTTGAAGCCAATACATACAATATATAAAATGTGATTAAACTGTGATAACTACACATTTGAGATGAATGAGGACAAGATCCAAGCAATAGATAAAACGTATTAGTGTTTCTAAGACAACTTTTCTTGACTGTAAATAAAAAGGAGTATATAACAAAAAGGGGACTATAACTAAAATGAATACTTTTTTTATTTTTATTTTTTTTTGAAAATTAAGCCTTATAAAATTAAGCTGACTCGCAAACAGGCTAATGGCCTGTAAAATCTGTAATACTATTATGGGATTTGGCTATGAATGCCTAGAATGTATGTCTTTCTTTTGTTTTTCCTGCCAACTCACTTGTTGTAGAGCACAATGTCTGGCAGCCAGATGAGTTTTGATGGTATTCGCAGTTTCTTAATGCCACCATATTTTTCTGGGTCCCACCTGAGCCTGTAGTCATTCCACTCCTGTATATAGAATATAACACAAAGGAAAAATGCATGAGTAAGAGTTTGCACAGCTGAGAAAGGTCATCGGTAGCAAGTCAGCACAATACTGCACCTGGAAGAGCCACACGTTGGTCGTCATTATCTGCTTCCCGTTCATTCTGAAAATAGAGAGTAACACACTTTGAACACAGATATACCACACAAAGGCCTGTCTGTGTAGTTAAACTGTACTATTTTTCACAAGGTTTTGTTCAATATTTAAAAGATATTTGTTACCGCTGAGATGGATTGCCATGAAATGACCAACCATCCATTTCCTAATTGTCTGGCCTGCTTACTGAGCACTGTGCACTGTATCTGAGCATACAATGAATGAAAAGCTGTGCTCTATAGCTGAATAACCAATAAATCTAATAGCAACACATTTCTGGCTGCTGGACCTGGAGTCTTTTGTGTTTAAAATCGGTGGAAATTAAATCTGTCTTTAATGTGTTCATGTTTATTTCAAATAGGCATGACAGCACCTATTTGTTCTACTACTATATGAAGTAAACATATTCAAATCAAATATATAATTGTACTTATGACAATTGAAATAATTTATTCTTAAAAAAAAATAAAAATTCAAGTCACGATGTTGTTTGTTTTCATTGTGTGTTGCTGTTTATCCAGTCAAAACGCAGAGTGTGTTTTCCGCTTTTAGTTAGGGTTACAATGAACAGACATTTATTTGTTCTCAATATGCAAGTTAAGACTGTGATTTTAGTCCTCTTTTTAAACGAGTATGCAAACACATATTTTCCCTGTGATGTAGTTATTATAGTATTATATTACATGAATATTTTCTTTATCTGCCTGGAAATATTAGATACACTGTTCTTCCTGTTGCCCCCAAGCAGTGTCAGATTTATGTGTTTTATACTTTAAGGCTGATCAAATCTAATCTTTATGTTATTGTTCTTTGGAAACACCTGGTCTCCTAAAGCTGTGTTTCTTCATATTATTTCTTTCGACGTTTATTTCAACTGTATACAAAGAAGGGAGCATTATAGACAGTAGTATGCAGACTGAAAAAGTATCAGCAAAAGTACATCATTCAATAATACTATACTATCATGACAGGACTACATTCAGTATAATTTTAAAAGTGCATACATTTTGCTATAAGAATCTGAAGTACTGACCACACTGATGAGCTGGGACAGAGAAACTTGTATGGAGATGGTGACCTGTTGGCTCTTGTTCACTGCAGGTCGGATCAGTTTGTTGTAGCGTTCTGGCCCCAGCAGGTGGTTCACCAGACGCTCCTCTGCGTTCTCTGCTCTGCTGCCTACACACACATAGACACAAATCAGATACCTTTTGTTGTGTTTATTTAATATGCATTGTACTTAATACAGTCTGGGATGAAAGCTTTAAAAGTTGCAGTTCAAGAAGAATATGCTATTATATGGTGACCCTGTAGCACAGTGGTTAGAGCATTCACCCACCAACCCAAAGTTTAATGTCTGATCACAGCTCTGACCAGTGTTGTGCTGTTTTTGTGTCCTCAGGCAAAACACTTCGCCGACCTTGCTGTTTGAGTGATGGTGGTGGTTAGAGATTCACTAGAATCATTTGAATCATGGTTCAGCCCTGGAATTGACGATCTCTACTGAAAAAGGCTAAAAGACAGCTGTTATGTTGAAAACTACCACGTCATGACATCAAGACGGGACAGAGCATTTTGAGCTTTGGAGATGTAGACAGATCAATAATTATGGAATACTCAAACATATGTGAATGAAACCAAACATAACTGCAGGTATGTTTTTGATGAGGTAACAACATTAGAACATGACTTAAAGCTCACATTAATCAATTAGGCATAGTACAGAACCTTTAAATTGCCATTCCAAACATAAAATAGTAAAATGTTTGTGCCTTTAGGTTTAACACAAGAGGAAGGGTTGTGTTACTGAACGCCAGAAGTACTTAAAGATAAAAGGCAGTTGCCCTGTGGTGGCACATGTTCTTTTCCCTGCTGTAGTTTAGAGCCTCATAATTAATGTTTATACTCCCAAATGATGAGCAATAAACAAGTAATCTGTGAGTAAACTACACCACAGGGCATTTAAATTGTCTTCTAATGAGTGAGTGGTTTGTGCTTCAAGGTTTAAGCACAAAAGAACAAACTACATCCAGTCAAGCATCTTTCCCAATGTGCAGATCTCCATAACTTCGTGTCTCTACTCAACCTGAAAGTATGACTTATGTAAAACTGATTAAATACATGAATAATTTTTGTGGAGTAGCAGAATAGCCTCAAGCCCTGGCTTTGAGCTTCCATTATGTCCACATTGTCAGAGCAGAGTTGACAACAGCATCAGGGAGAAGGATATTTTTGAGGATATGCAGAATGTGTCTGTGTCGCATGAATTGTGGGTTTCAGTGAGTTTACATGAAGCACTGGCCCGGAAAGCTTCCTACTGGTCTAGGATCCAAGTGACAATAGTTCTTAACATATGATATATATTAGGGGTGGGAGATATATCGATATTTTAAATATATCGAGATAGTTTTTAAACTCGATATGAATTCTGACATATCGTATATATCGATATAATGTTTATATTCAATTTTGATTTCGCCGCTTCACTTGTTTGTCTTCTCTCTCGTCGCCTCCGCGCGTCTCCCTGATTTTGTTCGCTCGTGTCTCCTTCACTCTTCACTATCGCCGTGAACACCGAAAGTTGGTGCCAGTGAAAAGCTTCAAGCACCATGAACCTTTTCCACCATTTACAGACAAAACCATCAGCAGCACATCCTCATATTCCACCAAGTCTCGTCCTTTAGCCCGAAAGAAGCTAAACGAGCTGAGCTGCGTGAGAAGTGCGCTGTTTATGCAAATGAGCCATGCGCTTAAGTTTCGTTTCTGTAAAATGTAAACACACGTGCGCAAAACTGCATTAAACACATTATTATCTCAAACGGGCTGATGTGGCTCTATAGTCGTTATGCTTTATATATTGTAAAGTTTAGCAATGTAAAGTTGTTTTATGCAGAATATTTTAATTAATAATCTGCTGCAGTGTCACTTGTACAATAGTGTTTGGAAACGTTGGGTTTGATCTGCAGTGGATTGTGGGATTAAACCTCAGAGCTCCTTACTGCTGGATAATAACATGGATCTATTAAAATAAGGAACATCCTGAGCTTCTTCTGCTAAATGAGCTCATGGTTCTGGTTCTGGTTTGGATAACAGAGTTAATGGAAAGATGAGCTTGTGTTGAGTTGTTTTATTTATGAATGAAAAGAAGGAAATATGTATTATTTCTTTTATTAACATTACATTACAGTTAAATTATTATTTATGTAATTAGGGTTTTTTGTAATCTTAAATGTTCCTATATGAACTGCCGACCTCTTACACTTCAATTTTTTAAAAAAGGACCTTGTGGAATTTGGCAGATTTGTTTTTTGCAGTTTTCAGTTTTAGGGGGTTATTTTTTCTTGAACATATATCGAGATATATATCGTATATCGAGATATAGCAAAATATATCGAGATATATTTTTTGATCCATATCGCCCAGCCCTAATATATATGTACATATAACCCACTAGCCGCCATGTTACAAACGAGAAATGAGCATGGGGGCGCTTCAACTCTGGCTCCAATTGATTTTACTTTTTCTTTTTTTTTTTTTTTTTTTTTGTAGCACAGTGTAGTGAAGCAAGAGGGTTCTGGGTTTGATCCCTGGGTCGTTTGGGCTTTTCTGTGTAGATTTTGCATGTTCTCCCCATGTCCAGGTGGATTTCCTCTGGGCATTCCGGTTTCCCCCATTAACCTGAAAACATGCCCCCGAGATAGGTAATAATGCTCAAGCTAAGGTAGTCCTGACCAAACCTAGCAACAAGATTATGGAGATGGGTCCCCGGGCACCCCATGTGCTACCCACTGTTCCTGAAAGGATGGATGAAATGCAGAGGACCATTTTCCTCTGGGGCTTAGGCCACTTCTTTATACAGGCTATGGTTCTTAATCAACTTCAAGGATTTGTGTTTATTACAACCAAATCATGAAAGGCGACTCAGAACTGCACATAATTTGAAAGTAAAAGGTTATCTGTCACTGCGTATCTGTATACAGGCATGTTGAAGTAAAGGGATATGCTCCAGTTAGTCAAAGAGACAAACAGGAATGGGAGGAGGAGTGGCAAAATGAATGTAATAATTATAATCTACATAAAAGTACTCCGGTTAAAAAGCTCCAATTTCACAAGTGATAACCATCCATCGCATACAGTAATTTGCATGGGGCAAATTTAAAAGTCCTTACATGAAAAATCAATGGGTACTTTAATTGCAATGCTCATATATTGCTGTTATGAATGACAGAAAGAGAGTGAGGACCAAATATGAGTACATGAAAAATAAGGAACATTTTTATAATCTTTATAGCCGACCTCTCAGGATAAATACTATGTCGACTTATTCAACACTCGAAAGATGGAACAATACTATTTGGGAGTCAATATTTATCATGTGTACTTCTGGTGGCAAGTTTTGATTAATGTGTTTAGATTTGAGCTGATGAAGTTTGAATTATGAACTGACTAATTACTTAAGTGTTGCAATCCTCTGTTTATTTATTGCAGCTCAACAATTTTAACAATATTGTACAAGTAAAGTACATTGGATAATATATTAACAATATATAGCACTTCAAAACTTCTTATTGTGACAGGCTGACTTTATAGCCTTGACAAAAGAACAGTAGTGGCGAGCAGAGAGTGCAGAAACATCTGTGCAGACAGAGAGAAAGAGTGCAGAGAGCTGGACACCCCAAGGTCAAGGTGGGAAACACCTCCAATAATAGTGGAGAATGACCAAGCTAAGGTCTTGAGGGACTTTCCGATACAACCTGACATAATGGTGCTGGCAAACCAACCACATATAGTGATGTTGGATAAGCAACAGAACAAAGTCGTGGGGCACTGGTAGGTAACACCAAGAAAAAGGAACATGAGAAACTAGAGAAATACCGAAGGCTCAAGGAAGTGCTTGAGAAGACCTGGAAGGTGAAGACAGCCCTACATGATTCTTGATTTCTAATATGGAGCCTGGCTACAAATTAGCTCCTGTTAGCAACTGTTAGCATCGCGAGCTTCATTTAAGTGGAGTTGAATATGAGCTGAACACTGGGTGACGTCACACTCACATAGTCCACTTCTTTATACAGTCTATGGTTTTAAATTCTTAATTCCTTTGGCAACTGCCCTAACAGTTCCTAAAAAGCACATTTATAGTTCAAGAAATAGCTATAATGTATGGCTTTGTATTTCACACTATGTTAGCGGTGGTGATGTTCATGATGAAGGATAGGATACAACATGTTCTGACTAGAGCCTCCGGTCTACAGGGAAACAAAAACTTACAACAATAACAACTACAAGAAAGACAGAAGAGCATCATGCTTTCTCTGAGTATTGCACCAGCTGAATTATTTAACATTTCACCGTTTCCTTCCCTTTGATGGAGGCTCAGGGGTAAAGCTTCACGGTGTCATCTGCCCTATTTGATCTTTGTTACAAGGTTTAGCTGAAAATGATGAAAAAAACCCAAACAAAGAACAGAGTGAGTAATACAATTCATTGAAGGGCACACCTTAGGTTAGCTGGTGATGGTTGGTTGTAGAGGCAGACAATATTGATATTTTTGTGTTCCTGATAACAATAATCAGGCAGTAGTTTGGCAATCCAAAAGATATAGCAAAAATGTGCCCTTAAATGTATTATTTAGTGTTTAAAAGGCCCATATCATGCTATTTTCTGATCTATGTTATAATGTGTTTTGTTTCATTCATACATGTTTAACACAGAAAACCTGCATATTTACGCTGAGGTCTTCTCTCAAATAGAAAACACACTGTTCCACCTTGTGATGTCATGTGGTAATACATACACCTTCACTAGAGTCAGTTGGATCACTTCAGTCCTGGAATTGCAAGTCCCTTTTGAACTAAAGGTAAAAGCTGTTAACTTGAAAACTGCATAACACCACAAGGTGAAACAGGCCATTTTGATCTTTGGAGATGTAGACAGTAGAGCTGATATATCGGTTGGCTAATATTATCGGCCGATATGGGCTCCCAAAGATGTATCGGCTATTGGCCGATATGCTTGCTGATATGGGCCGATATATATAAGCTTAGACTCTCTACATTATGTTCATTTAATCCAATTTACAGACAGATAAATGTCCTAATATGTGGCTCCGCATCAGTATTTATCTGCGGAATCATTTGTCTGTGTGTGTGTGTCCGTACTGTCCCTGAACACACCCCCAGAGACACATTACTTCACTCATGTGCTCTTGTTTACACCCGCAGCCGTGCGCAACACTGAGATTATATTCTTTTTACGGACAATCTGTTTTAAGTTTGGATTAAAAGGACATTTATTAGTGCAGACTTGTGATGTGAGGAGGAGCCTGTGTGAGCGGTGAGTGTTGGAAATACATCGACTTTGAAGCTAGTTTTGGTTAGCGATTAGCTGCTGTAGCTCTGACACATAAACAGGCTGTTTTCTATTGGCCTATTGTAAAGTGACTATATTGGCCTTATATTTGTTATTGGACCTGCATTGATATGTAAATGAGCTGTGAATAGACGTGTGAATGATCCACATTTATGCATATAATTAATTACCACGGCGTAATTACCAAACGACGGGAGCCTGCTTCTTATTGGGAGCCATGTTTTCTCTTTCTCTCACTTTTTTTCTCTTCACGCCGCATGTAGACTGGGGATGTGCATTCGACGAAATTTTCTTAATCGATCTTCGGAAGAATTAACAATAAATTATCGATTAATCATTAACGTTTTTATATTAAAATGATCATCATTGTTATTACTATCTGCACTACTAATCTGCATAAATAAATTCAACTTTACGACATATAAACCATAACCACTCTACAGCCACATCAATCCGTTTGAGATTATAATGTGTGTAATTCAGTTTTGCGCAACTCTCACAGAAACGAAACTTAAAACCGCATCGCTAATTTGCATAAACTCAGCGAAGATAAAACTACTGCTCTTGTGCGCTGATGCGGTCAATTTCTGTCAGATTAAAAGACATGACTCAGTGGAATACAGGTTAGTGAGACCAGATTTGCGTTTGTCAAAACCAGGACACTGTACGGGGGGTGGGAGATGGGGACTCGTCATCGACATGGCGCTCTCACCTTGCAAAGCTTTTTCCCACTGGACACCGAAACATATGTGCTGCTTTATACACTGTGCGCATGGCCTCACACTTGTCCCGAACGCAACGGAAAGCGTGGAAGTTCTTGTAGAAGTCATTGTTAAATACACATTTGTGCTTCAGTACGTTGTAGGCGGACTGACTGTTTGTGTTTCCTCGCTCCTTCTGCGTGCAGAGAGCTACATGTATGGACCCCTGTTTGGTCACGCTACGCACAGCAACCTACATTCGGTTTGTCGATTAAAATGAACGTAATCAATGAAATTCTTAGTGATCAATTATCGATTAATCGACTAATCATGCCCATCCCTAATGTAGACCCGTAGTTTGACAGTGGGCAGCAGCTGAAAATGAAACTTTCAGAAATCTGCGTGTGCATAGGATAGAAAAAGTGTGCATATGGCTGCAGTTCAGCATAAAATGAATAAACCAGGACTAATCTTGGGCTTGAGAGAAGGAGAGAGATAGAGACCGAGTCCTGACACTCAGTCCTGGTTCAGTTCTGGTTTAGTCCTGTTTTACACATGGTTTAGATTTGTTTTAGTCCTGGTTTAGTTCTTTTTCAGTCCTAGTTCAGTTCTGGTTTAGTCCTGCTACCCATCACTAGTAGCTAGAATGTGATCTACTGTCTGTAAATATGACGTAAATAGTCAAAATAACAATAAATGTTGCCTAAATAAACCCAGTTTAAAATCCACCAGAGCCAAACCTAAGTTTTTTAAACAATTCAAGATTTACAGTGAATTTTTACATCACTAAATATATCGGCGATTATATCGGCTATCAGCAGCTGCAACTCCCATTTTATCGGTTTCATAGAGGCCACAATAAAATCCATATCGGCCGGGCTCTAGTAGGCAGATTAGTAACGCTCTAAATGCAGGATTACTCAAACATGTACGAATGAAACACAACTGCAGTATATTTTTGAGGAGGTAACAACATTCTAACATGGCGTAAAGCTCACAAGAGTCAATTTTGCATAATGCAGGAGTGGCTCTTTTTGCATTTTGAGATGATTCATTATAAACAATATAATTTAAATTCAAATTCAGAAAATTTTCTAAACAATTCTGGACTTTGAACTAAGATATATTATTGTTAATTCGATATCTATTTTATATTTATATCTATCTGTATAGTTTCTACAAGGAAAGCAGCTAGAGTAATTCCTGTTATGCTATGCTAAATATATAATATTTTGTACAGTGCTTGTTATATTGTACAGCTCAGAGAAAATAGGTCAGGATAATAAAAGATTGCTCTTGTTTTCTAAGAGAAGTGGATATTTGCTTCCTAAAAGACTGGTACGGTCAAGAAAAAAAGGTCCTAAGTGAATTATTCAAACCCTTTTACAGAGTGTTTTCAGAGGATGACCTACGCTCCAATATAATAATAAAAACTAGTTCTCTGGGGCAAATGTTAAGAAAGGTTTACAGGTGAATGCACTTCAGTAAATTTAAATACTGTGGAATCTTTTTTTTTTCTTCCATTGTTTCAAGGGCCCTGGATATTTCTATCCTCTTCTTTACTTTTCTTTTTAATTGTAGACTCACATTACATACAATTGCATACTACTAATAATAGCACAGATTGTTCATTCCAATTGTGCTGAAATTATGTGTTCATTTATTTATTACAACTATATTGTTTTCTAACAACACTTACAACTCTTTGTCTTGCTCAAGGGCAGTTCACAATATGAGTGGAGAGAGAATTTAACTGCCAACCTGATTTATTATCAGCCTTGAGCACTTCTCTGTAAATTTGCTTTATAAGAGTTGTGTCAGTGTTTCTGATGGCTGTGTAGTTTTATGAGGTATGCTATCATGTTTTCTGCCAGCATTGCTTTGAGTTTGAAGGATTTATTAAGTCACTGAGTTTTGTTCTGGGATCATCACAGCAACTGTAGCTACTACCTGGCTTTCAAGTGCAGCTCTTACACTACTAATTGGGTTTATCCAGACTTGGAACCTGCATAAGTGACACATACACAATATAAAATGAATAAAAATGTATCTCCCTAATGACAAGCAGTTGACACCACCAGGTTTCTGATCTATGGAGAGGCAAGCCCGCTCACAGTTAGAATCCATGTTATAAAGTTGTATCCTCATCAAAATCCAACTTAAACTCCATACACCTTCACTAAAATTACTTGGATCATTTCAGCTCTAGAACTGCCCATCTCTACTGAACATAAACCACTGTAATTTAATCAGTGATATGTTTAATGAGACAGTGTGGAACATTCTAGGTAAAGTAATAAGTTCTCCATGGAGAAAAAAGAAAAGTTACATAATGCAACTTTAAAGTAGCCTCATTTAAGTTCTATGCCTCTAGCCGTAGCTCAGAGGCTCCATCAGAGAGAGGAGGACTACAGTGATAGCCTATTGATTGACAGTGGAGCGTCATCTTCACACACTTGGATGAGTGATGGACTTAATATGTGGACACCTACCACAAGAACACCATCTAGTCTATCACAAGAGCGTTAATGTCGAGATTTCTCACTCTAGCGTGTAATTAGCTACTTGCTTCAACAAATGGGGTAAATTTATAGGCTACATTTTGATCATTTTTAACGCGAACGCAAACTTGATAGGTCTTACCCATAATATAGTTAAACTTACTTGCAAGACATAGAACGAGAAGCAGAAGACAGGAGCTGGTAGTCATCTCCTTCCGGTTTGTAAACTTTCTAAATTGTGCAAACACCAAGTTGCATGTTGAATCCATAATTCCAACGATGATGAATCTGAGTATCGCGTCTTCAAAACTCTTCGCTTCCCTCTCCGCCGCTCCCCCGCGCCTGCTCCATCATCCGCGCGCTTTCCATTGAGATATCTCCCCGCGAAAATTATTTTCCTCTGACTGGGACAGCAGCTGATAGAGTTTCATTAACCGTGAAGTTCATTGTCATCGTGCGTCCGGTGACACGTCAATCTCGCGTTAATGAATGTAAGGCGCGTTGAGATTTGGAAAGCTCACCGGATCCAAGGCAGAGGGAAGGAGGAAAAAAGTTTGCCGTGTGTAAATGGCTCTGTCTTTGAAACGTGAAGGAGAGACACGGAGGAGGAGGGGTCACTGTGAAGAAAGTGAGTGAGTATAGGGCTTTAGGACTTTAGGACAAAGATCATTAGCGCATGAAGGCGATTCAAGTGCAGCATAATGTAGTGTAGCCCTATCTACCTTAATTAACCTAAATGAATAAAGTTATATTTTGAAGAATATGTTATGTGGGTCTCCTAAGATTCTCAGGGAGTCCCCCTGGATTCTTAGAAATGAGGGCTAAACTAGATAGTGAAAATTATAAGGAAGGATTGATATGTTAATTGCCTTTATAGAGTATTTCATAATCGTTAGCATACTGTTTTATGGCATTTGTATTAACTGACATAGTTAATAGTAGTATCTCAGGGAGGACAATAGGGATGACTGGGAGAAAAAAGGCCTAGGAGCCTAATGTTTGTATCAATGGACATAACAGCAACGGTGTTTTAAAGGAACTGTATGTAAGATTTTATTTTAAATTCCAAAACCTGGCCTATCTGTGTCACCAGATAATAGGTTAACATGTTCTTATCAAATATACCTATTTATATATATATATATACATACATACATACATACATATATATATATATATATATATATATATATATATATATATATATATATATATATATTATATATATATATATATATATATATATATATATATATATATATATATATATGTATATAGTATTAGCTTTATAGCTTATGCTGATTTATTCTTTCATTGCGGAAATCCAGTTGGTTTAAACCTTAAATGTCTCCCTATGATGTAAACCCTCACTACCTAAACCCCAGCACCTGCAGTCAAGCATAAATCAGTGCTAGTGCAGCCTCTGCAGCTCAGTGATTCTGGAGCCATCACATGAGACATTACAGCATACTTTTAAAAAAAAGACAAAGGAGAAAAGTAAAACCTCCTCATATCTCATAGTATTACGCTCTCTATTCAGTCCCCCTGATTACTCACTCATGCATGTGTAGGTACATTTTCCTGGTTATGTGGCTGCACACGACCACAGTTTTCCATCACAGAGGAGGAGGAGAGAGGAGATACAAGACCCAGTGCTGCGCCAGCCTCACGGGGAGACATAAAGGCCGGGTGTGAGAGCAATGAACAGCACAGGACAAGAGCAGGAGGCACTTCTTTTAGACTTTTCTACTCTGTCCATCATAAATATTACAGGCCACATTCACTGGATACTGGATAGTAGCACAGATCCTGCTGGTCTCAGGACTGAAGCAGCTCTTATAGGCTAATTTATTTATAACCATGCACAATGGGATAGTCAAGAAATTTGCTTGCAATAAATAAAATTATTCAGTGTCTTTTGGGTGGCAAATTATGAAACTGAGAAAAAGTGTTTGTATTAGACTAGAATCATTCTAAAGCAGCGTCTCACACACTTAATGGCATTTACAAAACACTGTTTATTCGTATGACTCTCATGACAATCAGAAATAATTAGGACATTAATACATGCAAAATATTGTTGGTTAAACTTACTTACTGCCTGTCAGAGGAATTCCTAGGGGAAGGGGGGTAGGGGGGTGGCTAGAGGGGGCAGCCACACAGGGTGCAAATTGGTGTAGGATCGCCACTGCTGCCTGTTACACCTCTGGCATCTAGGGCAGTAATAGAGTCATCCCTTTCACAGCTGCTGTTGTTGCTATTTCTTTAAAGGGCCTGTATTGCACAAATTTGACCTTTGTGAGCTTTAACCCATGTTATAATGTTGTTATCTCCTCAAAAACATGACCGGTGCTGTGTTTTGTTTCATTCACAATATCCTGGTTTATTAGTCTATCTCCAAAGCTCAAAATGCTCTGTTTCACTCAGTGATTCATGCAGTGGTAGTTTTCAAGTAAACAAGTAAACTGCTTCCTGTATTATCCCATGACAAAATAAGGTGGAACAGATTGTTTTCTGTTTGAGAGAAGAACTAAATATGCAGGATTTGTATGTTAAACATTTGTGAAAGCACAACTCAGGTATGTTTGTGATGAGTAAACAAGATATATATAGCATAGATCAGAAAATAGTGTAATATGGGGTCTGTAACAGATTTTCTTTTTCTGATACAGTTGTTAGCCCTATGCTCAACAGCCAGTGACTCAGAGGGTCACTGGTTTTCTTTTGTCGCTGTCACACAGCTGCCGAAGCATTACCAAGATGTCCAAACAAGGAGTGTGATGTGACTTGTTAGCAGAGCCTATGTGATATGAAGGGAAATCCTTTTGATATTATCAGTACTTGTTCAGATGAATATAGCTACAATATTTTTAACAACCCAAGTCTAAGTAACCATACAACACTGTCTGTGTCACCAATGCCCTGTAAACCATTTTTTCTATATAGAGTTTGGGAAACTCTTGGCGTAACAGTTTTCTCCATCCATTACACTGGAACAGTCATGAACAAAATTAATTCATGAATTATGGTCAAAATGTCTACTTTGATTGTATAGCTGTGAGACTTGAACATGCGCATGAATGGGGGGATTTGGCTGCAGTGCAAATCCCTGACTGTGCAGCCCATATAACTAACACATTACTTTCCCTGCATGGCCCACTGGACATTTCAATCAGCTGTAATGGAGGTGGATCTGGTCCTCACTCAACAGGAGCAAGGGCACCCGTGCATTTGGCTAAAGTCTACTGTTTCTATCGCCATTTATACACAAGAGATAACTTAGAACCTGTAGAACACAATATTTGTACACAAGTAAAAGTAGGCCTACTGCTATGTCAATATTTCACTACAAAGTTTGGATATCCCATCATAACACAGTAACAGTTTGCACTACTACTATACATATTCCACTACTACACTATAATTACTAATACTACAAATGCTATTGTTGACCTAATAGCATTTCTATTCTACCCCACTTTGACCTCAAGTATTTTTTAAGGTATTTTATTTGCTTTTCCTGTCAAAACATTAAAATTACAAAACAGTGTCTTTATCAGGCTAAAATATTCTTACTGTACCTGTCTGGTGAAGGGTCTTCCATCTGTTTCTTCCATAGAGATGTTAGATGATGAAAAGCATAATTATACTGTAAGTGGGCTCGCCTCTTCACAGATCTGACCAAACTTAGCCTGGTGAGGTTGCCTGCTTGTTTTCATAAAGATAGAAAAGTTTAATGCTTTACTATAGAATATTTCTGTCAAAGCAGGTACATCTCCATAGAGACAAGCAGGTGTAACTCTCAATTTCCAAAGTAGATATCTTACCTAAAACATACCTAAACATATACTGGGACCCGTAACATGATACAAATATCAGCCTGAGAAAATGAGTGGTACTTAGGGTTTAATCTTTTTATCCAGACTGGGGGTTTTGCTGAGTGTGCATATATTATTACTGTGAGTGCTGAGACTGCAACAAACAACCACCACTGACGACTCTACCAACATAACAGCAGCTGCACATGAGGTTTTTAGGTCTACAAGAAATATGGAGGAGCTATATGCAATTGTATGATGTCTACATATATGTGTCTTACTCCACACATTTCGTTTTTCCAGGTGCAAAGACAGAACAATGCCACTATACTGTATACACTGTGCACTATATTTGTGATTGTTGTGGCAGCTAATAGTATAGCTTTAAACTTCTGTATCCATGGAGACAAGCAGATGATGCTGTGGTGGTCATTAGACAATAGGCTGGTGGAGAGGTGACTGTGTTTCTTAAGATTTTTTTGAGCACTAAAATCAACTGCAAAGATATATAATTTATCATAGTTATACATACACATTCCATACTGTGGAACATAGGCATAGCAATATTAACTCCATGGAGACAAGCAGGTGCCTACACTTGCAGAAAGTTGAAGACAAAATTGTAGGCTCTTCAACTATTGCTTACACTAAGTTGGGACCTCTTTGTGTAGTATAGGCTACAGTATTGTTAACTGATCTTAATGTGACATCACCATCATTTTCCCTTTATGCATTCATTCACCTTTTACTAATTAAATGAATGAAAAGCAACAACAATAACACTTTTAACTGTACACTGATGAGGCAAAAAGGGGACAAGCCCGACTATGAGGTACTACTGTTTGAATAGAAATGGGACTTTTTTCATAAAATTTCCGTTACTCACCAGCAGATGGCAGAGTTAGGTAAGAATTAACTAACTTAAACTATAGGCCCACATTTCACTAAAGGAGAAAACATTTTAAATGTCGTTTAAGCACTACATAGATACAATGGACAGTAGAACATACATGCAACAGCCAAGAACAGTGTGTGGTTGGGATAACATCTCAAGTGTAGACAGCAGCAAGTGTGTATCAAATGTATTCATGACCGAAGATTGAATTAGGAGTCTTAATGGATGGCGGTAATGTTGAACAAATTGTTTAAGTGCAAGGCATTCACTGGGTTTTGATAAGAAGAAAATCAATGTAAATCTATACAGTGCAAAGTACAGTGATACACAGAGCAGCAATAAGTGCTCCACTTTGAGACAGATGGGTGACATCCAGGCAGATATGCCACTGCAGCCCGAGGCGAGAGGCTCAGAGGTGGGATTTGAATGATAACAACGTTGTAATGGTGTGGTGATGTGGGGAAGAGACTGACTAAAAATGGGGAGTAAATGCTATGGAGGCTTTATATGAAAAAAGCTTTCACCAAAAATCCTATGTTAAGTGCAGTTGACATCAAACTAATTAATGATT